CACACTCATCCCTCCTCCAACCATCTGTCCTCCCATCCACCCGCTCCAATGGCCCTCCCTCATCGTCGGAGAGAACGCGCGGCTAATCTGACCAAGCAACTCGGTGCTCTTACACCGTCGTTGGAGGTCGAGGTAAGTCACATCTCCTCTGTCATCCGCCCTCTTGATCCTCAATCTGAGTCTGTATTTAATTCTGCAAAACCCATCTCTAGCCTGCATTGCCGGCCCCCAACGCCCGTGTACCTCGATCCACGTTCCCCCATGCACATCGCTCCCCACGCTCGCCTCGTCGGTTCTACAACACCCGAGCTGCTGTCCATCGCACCCAGTCGCAGAACTTACCCCCACAACCGATCCCCAATCCCACCCGCACCGGTCTCACCCAATACCAACAACCCAATCCACCTACCTCTTCTCCCTTCAAGCGCTCGATGAGTCCGATCAACCAGTTCGAAGACGGCTTTGACGTCGAATCACCTATTGCTTCCAAGTCTCACGGGCGTGTCTCTTTCGTCCCCCAAAGGCTAAGATCTGTTAGCTCTGCTCGGGCCAACCTTTTCGGTGCCATGCCCGGTAAGAGTGGTGGCCTCGAACCCTCATCGCGTTCAACATCAGTCTTCAGTGGATGCACACCTCCCAATCTCCAAACAAATCACCCACTCTCACAGTGGTTCCACGACCCTACACCCCTTAACAGTTTACCTCGTTCAAGGCAGCGTACAGTCAGTGCAACCACGCAAGAGCACTCAAGCCTACTATATGCCAAGCACCTCTCAACTCTGATTGAAGATAGATGCGACTCTGATCCTGAAATCGGCAAGTCTGGCCCTGGTTGCCCCCTCTCGAGTCCCTCTCAAAGCCCACCGCTCGATTCAACTGATCAGAATGGCTCTGGAAGTCGTTCGTCTCAGAAGACCGACTTCCAGGACTCCCGTCACCATCAATCCGACAGATGGGTCATGCCGCGCATAGAGGGACTCGACATGACTCCTCGACGTCGCAGTATGGATGGGTCGTTGGATGATAGTGATGCAGACGAAAAGGGAGATTTGGCTCTTTCCAGCAAACCTTCGAGCCGAACTAGCATCGCATCCAGTCTTACCACCCATGAATCAGATAACCCCATCTGTGGTGCTTTTGATTGTTCCCTCAAACCTTTCAACTCGACATTCGACGGTTTCGGTGCTCTGCCTCCCCCTGAATCCCCATTTCCCGGACCCCATCGTATCAAGCGTGGCGGTAATCTTCCTGTGAGTCCAAACAAACTGAAGCGCGATGTCGATGGCGAGCTAGTTGGTTCTACATCGCAACCTGCGCTCTATCGTCATCGCCCAAGCGGCCCAGTACCCCCCTCGTCATTTCCTACCCTCCGCATGAAGAATGATCCCTTTGAGTCCGTGCACCCTCACCGACACTCATGGGGTCGCCAGTCCAACAACCCTAGCGAAGATGATGAAGATGAGATCGGTCCACCAGTTCACCACGAACGCGACGCGGTCAATGGTTCACATGAATCACATGAGGGCATGAGTAACCTCAGTGTTCCAGGCTTGACAGATTCCAGCTCACTCGCTTCTAGTCTCGCCTCCTCAAACCAAAGTAACAATTCCCACAGCATTCGCCCACCGGTTGACGGCCCAGCCCTCATCTCGAGTTGGCACAAATCACCTGCTGAAGCTGGTCGAGAGGCCAAACGGCGAAGCCTTCCGACCGATGTCAGTCGGGCCTCCGCTCACAGCTTCACACCCGCCCCGCCGATGCCAATCGGTCTCATTTCTACACCTATTTCGGCTAAACATTCACTCACTCAACATCCCTACCTGAGGCCTTTGATCCAATCAGCCAATTCATCCTTTCAAGAAGCCGAATGCTCTTATCAGGACGTAAAACCCAACGCATCCGCCTTTCTTTCTTCTGGAATGATCAGCAAAAAAACTGTTGCGCGAGACCGACGAGAAAACAGTCTGAGCAACTCTAGCGCCCTCTTTAAGTATGCCTTGTCCAACGTCAAAGACCCCAACGCATCGATTGGCGAGAACGTCTGCAACGTGTCTACCGAGGCTTCCATCGCTGTTAAATCGATGTGTGAAGCGCTGGGCGGACCCCGGGTGATTGTGGCTGCTAAACGCGAAGATGAACATCAGAGCCGCTTGTCGGAACAAAGCATCTCGATGCAAACTGGTAATCAATCCTTCAGTCCAAACCAGAGCTCGCTGGGAATTGTTCTGCCGGAATGTTTGCGACAGCCATCTGTCTCGTCTTTGAGGATGCCAGACACACCGATAAAAAAACCCATGGGTTTACAGAAGGCACATCCTCAGATCAACAAGCCTTTTATCCCATCCGGCTTGAGGCAGCTTTCAAGCTCTTACTCCCCCTCCATCGGTGGTTCCCCAATTGACAATTCGCCAACTTCTCGAGGTCATCAATTTTCCATCCCTGAATCCCCAATACCCCTATTCCACTCACAGTTCCAACACGATCCCCTTTGCCTGATAGCCCCAAACGGCTCAACAGCCGACAGGGACTCATCAAGTTGGATCACTTCTGGGGACGCTGATCCCTCCCCCTCACTTTCTCGCGCTAACACGAGCGGTCAGGTACCATCAGGTTTGGAATCGCTGGGCAAACAATCCCCCGTGTATCGGCGCCGGAGCAGCGATGGTGTCCCGAGTAACCAAAGTGGTAATGGAAATCCCAGCAAGGCCTCCAGCTCCCGACAAAGTAATCCGTTTGATGAACCCGGTACACCGACCAAAGCCGCCACAACATGGTTGAAGCGTGGTGAGTCTGCCTATCCCCACATTGTCTTATCATCCTCTTCATAAGAAATTCGAGCACTAATATCACCAGACCTTATTTCAGCGCAATTTCTTGCCTCACCCGGAAACTCGATCTCCTCGGTTACCAGCTCACCCAGTATGCATCATCATTCACATATCGATCGACTAAGTACATATAACTCCAGCGCAGAACACTCGCTTGATGCGCAAGTTACTCCTAACCGCCAAGGAGGTCGCTCATACACGCCTTTCGCGCTTTCACCCATGTTAGGCATGGAACTCAGGCAAGGCTCCCGCTACCACTCGACACCTGGCCCAGAAAACTCCACTTCACCGTCCCCGCGTCGGCCAGCGATCAACAAGCGACACTCGAGTCCAACGATAGATGATATTCAGCGCAGAACCAATAGGCACCTTTTTGGTCAAGCTCTCTCACGGCGTCTCCGCTATGAAGCTGAATTTGATGAACTAGAAACCATTGGGAAAGGTGAATTTGGGGAGGTTTTCAAAGTCCGCCAGAACACCACCGGAAAGGTTTTTGCCATCAAACGACCAACACGACCTGCCAACGGGCCTAAAGCTCTGTAAGTCATGACTTGGCTTCAGTCACATGGAAGTAAAGCTATGATTCCGATGCTCATGTCATCTTTGTCTCTATCTTCAGTGCTCGTCAGTACGAGGAAGTCGATATCCTACGGCGGCTTACGCAACCCGTCCACTCTGCACATATCATTCAACTCCATGCTGCATGGGAAGAAGATAGCCGCTGGAACATTCAGACCGAATTCTGTGAAAACGGTACGCTCGAGCACTTCTTGGGACTCATAGCTGGCTTCCAAGATCGGGTAGATGAGGAACGTATTTGGAAAATCACATCTGAGCTTGCCCAGGCTGTTGCCTTCATGCACTCCTCTGGCGTCCTACATCTCGACATCAAGCCTGCCAACATCTTTATCACTGCACACGGTGGCTTAAAAGTTGGTGACTTTGGCCTAGCTCGAAGGTGGCCAAGAGTCAATCCCAGCGAGGTTCGCGAGTGTGGATTTCTGCACGCTCGCTGTAAATTGTATGAGCACGCACCGACGAATCCATCCGAACACGGCGACAGTGTTATTCCTCGCCAGTTTCTGCGGCACGGAGATGTCAGTGATACCGAAGAGAAGCACCTGATGCGCTTCAAAGCCTGCGGCCGTTTCGTTGGCTTCGACCTCGAACGCGAAGGCGACCGTGAATACATCGCCCCAGAAATTCTGAGCGGGCGTTATGGTGAAGAGGCGGATGTGTTCTCGGTGGGTTTGATTGCGCTTGAGATCGCCACAAACGTGGTCCTGCCTGACAATGGCGATGAGTGGCGGAGTCTGCGGTCGAGCGACTTCAGTCGTACAGATCTCAGTCATTTAAGTTCGGAGCTCGTACTTCTGATCAAGCGAATGATGGACAAATGTCCTGATCGTCGGATCACCGCTGACGAACTTACTCGACATCCGGTGATTGCCAAACTAAAAACTTTGAGGGACGTTGGCCTAGCGCAGGAGATGGAGGGAATAATGGGCTATGGAGCGGTGGAATACGAGGAGACGGAAGTTCTGGATGACCAGGCAGACCCAGCCGGTGATATCCTGATGTCACCGGGCGATGACTCCCACGATTTTTCAGTCGAACACGTCAAACCTCTTCGACCAGCGCCTCCTCCAGATAACACCTGGCAGATGGCACGTGGAGCAGTCCTGCCTGAGGCCGAGGGTTTTCTCCCATTCATTCTTACTGGTCAGAGTACTCCTTCGAGGGTCAAGATCTCCTCCGCATCTTCTTTCACTAACTGTGCATTGAAGACCGCCCCTTGGCAATCGTCTACTGGAGGACCAGACCCGACTAACGACCAGATGGAAATCGATGCTTGATCGGCTCCTTCTGACAGTTTTTGCTGAGGATCCCCATGTCGCTCAGCAAGCAGATATCTCCAAATCGGTTCAAGTCTTTCATCTATGAACTCATCCCCGAAAATCCGTTCGAAAATCGAAGGGCGATTGCAGCCAGAGAAACTAGAACTTAAAAAAAAAAAACCGTAGACCTACCTTTTTTCCACTGAAGCAATTATTAAAATTTATGTTTTGGTTTCATGTCAATTGCGAATTGGGGTGGATCAAGATCCGACCGTTTGTAGATCAATCAACCTTTTTGCAACGATCAACATCACCAGTCCTTATGGAACGATGGTCTCCAGAAAATGGGGTTTCTTTTTCACCCCCATCTTAATCTACCTGTTATTCATCTTTTGTTGAGCTCGTCCGTTCCTTCTCGAATGCTGGTCACATCCCTTCCTCCTTGTCTTTCGCCAACCCTCTTTTGTCTACATTTCTTATTCTAGAACTGCTTGTATGTCTATTACAATGTTTCTCATATTCTTATTTTTTCATATAAGCAAATCAAGATATATATGAAATATCTCAAATATTATCAATATAATTTTCAGTAATCAAAGTTTTGTTGATCGGTCCGCCTGCAATTTGCTTGTTTGACTTGGTTGATTGGGTTTATCTGTTTGTTTAAGTTGTCTCACTCGTTGATGTTTTTTTCTTTTTCTTGGTATTCTTCAAATAACCTATAAATTCTTATGTTTAGTCTAACAGTTTCAGTATGTATCTAAGCTTATCATTATATCGGGTCTTTCTTGTTATCTGTTCTTGTCGGTTTTTGGAACTGTCTTTTTCTTGGTTCTCTAAACATAACTACTTCAGATACATACTTATTTCCAAACAAAGCCAATCTAATAAAATAAGACAACTTAGCTAAATAAGATTCGCAGTAATAAATAAAAAGTAATTGAAAAAGTATTGATAGCACTGATCAGAAGACGCTCCTTGGTTGTACGGGACCGGTCTGGCAAATGTGTCTCTGGACCACAGGCTGGAATCATTAGGGTCACATCGAATCAGAAACTGCTAGTTGCAGTTGAAACTTCGACATCCTACCCTTTCCAAGGACGCCTTTATATACCACAGATACCACTGCCAGATCGGCTCTAAATCACAGTGAAGACCCATATTGATTTCTATGACTGGCATGCCAACTGTCATTCTTCCCTGGAGCCTACACGTTTTATCCTCAACTCAGCCGATATATCTTACCGGTGCCTTGATCTCGACCAGACATGTAGATAAATTCATTGGTCATTGAATATTAGAGTTGAATCCATCTTCCGCTATCACATACATACAAGCTTGACTGTTTGGGCTTCAGTAGTTGCTGCTGATGCATCCACCCGATAGGATTTCTCCCGCGATTCACAGTCGCACAGACTTGGCGAAAGGGGGACTTTCGCCCATCGACGCCTCCCCTCTCCCTGTCGGCCGAAGATACAAGTTTTATCTGATCAAGATTTCTTCTTCCTCCAACTTTAATAATCGCTTTAATCTTACATCTTGAAACCCGGTGTGACCTATACCTCGTTGTCCAACAACAATTCTATAATTCCGCTAGTACATATCACAAGTTCAGACATGCGCATCTTCCGGAAAAGTGAAGCGTTGCTACTATCCATCCTGGGTGCGTTAGAACAATTCCAAAGCGGTGAAGTCACACCTGTTGTTGCTGAAGAAGCTTCGGCGCGATCTGTGGCAAATAAGGGAGTATCAATCACATTGGCATCTGATTGTGGACATCAGTCGAGCAACTTGAAACGTTCTTGGGCAATGAGAGTGGGAGGCAGCAAGTCACACCCCCTCTCTTGCGAAGGTATGAGTAAAATTCCCCCGTTTAAGTGGGCCTGATCATAGATCACTTGACCAAACAAGGTGTTGACTTTTTCGATTAATCCAGCTACATGCAAGAAAGCCAAAATGGAAGACGGTAAGGGCACACCATTCTGCAACATTCTATGGCTGATTTTGCATGGCGTTGTTTGAATGTAGGATCACGGCAAGCGGTTTTCAGATGCTACATGAAAACGTCACGCAGGTTGCATAACTGGAGGTCTACCGTTTTGGCTTCAAATCCGGATAAAAATAAGGAGACTCGGTTAAAAAAGCAAATTGCCAATGTGCTAATATCAATGTCAACTCTGTTTGAAAAAAGAATGCATGAATTAAATGATCAATCGTTTCGCTTTGATGCCATTGTGAGGGACGAAGTTCTACCCAATCATCTTTCTCAGTCGATGTTTGAAAGGTGGGAAGGGGGTCTGCTGGAGTCTATTATAGAACTCTACAAGATTTGGAAACCTTTTCGGCGTTATAACACACCAGAACAAAGTTCAGCAATGAAAGAAGGAAGTGAACTGATGATCGATTTCTTCATCGATATACAAAAGCATCAAATCATCAGCAATAAAAGCCTCTCTGATTTCTTAAACAGTGGCAAAATGGGACGTTTGATCTCAATTTATGCCATTAGCAGATTCCCTATTGATGACTCTTGGGATGTAGAGAAAGTTTACTTGAACTTCAACCTCAAACTAAGTCTCCAAGAAAACCCATTGACAAGCAAAATGGCTGGAATACTAAAGCGTCAGTCAAAATAAGCATCTAAATATATTGTAAAGCTGAATCTCTCTGTTCATTATTATTTTTCCTCTATCAACACAGTCTTGGATCCAGACACCTGGAAAAACATCGAATTGGATTACCTTCATGTACAACTCTCTCTTCCAAGGAATGGGAAGTCATTGAAAGGGTTTTCTCAAATTAAGAAAGATTTCCTGAAATTATCATCTAACAGGAAGGAATTTCTATCTGAAAAAAATTATCACCTGGAAACTTTCTTTCATCAACTGGTCTCCTACATTTCACAACTCAAGATAATGAGTGACTTTGAATTGAACAGAAAATCTTTCATTGAAATCAAACATTTGAATGATATGATCAACATTCTTGTGGACTATTATCCACACAGAATTTCTATGGCTTTCATGCAAGAGAGAAAAGATGTTAGCAGCATAATCTGTACATTTCAGGAGTCAGTTGGCCTAGTCGCAAGTCTTTTCCATTCATGGTATATCAGGGAAAGATTGATTGAAGTGGAGAAAAAAACAAAAGATCCATACTTGGATTTGTTGGTTGATCTCAATGAAAACAGAACTATTTCAAGATTTCAAGAAGAAAGATTGCAAGAGGAAGTGAATGCTTCTGAATCTTCAATATTTGAACACAAAAAATTCATGTCATTTCAAAGAAAAGTTCTAAAAGCTTCTGAAGAAATTCCAAAGAAAGATCTGAAAAGGGCAATTTTAAAATGCAGATATCAGGAAGAAAGATTCATAAGTAGATTGAGCCAACTAGAGAATAGAAATAACCCCTCTGATTTTGATTTTATTCACTTGATGGGATATTATACTCAACTTTGCTACCATTTCTTGAGAAAATATGATAATCATACAAGTACTGCTGAGCTTCTTCAATATAGTAGACAGGACAGACAGACAGGATAATGATGGCCTATTATTAGGTTTTGTTGTTTCCTTCTATTCCTTTACATTCATTTAGGTCAATAATCCACCTTTTTCCAATTATCTACCTTGTGGGTTTTTTGATGTTGAATCATGAATGTCATCCTCATCAGAATTTTCATCTTTATCACCAGGAAGAATCATTTCTTTCTAGATGACAGGTGACATCAGTTGATGTTGATCACTGCTCAATTTTAGCTCCAGTTCCACTTAACCAGCCACAATGACCCATTTGTATGCTACAGGAGTTGATCTGGATGCATAATGTGTATAATGCTTAACTTAGACCGGCATAAAATGCCATCTGGTGATAAAAATATTTCTGTTGTACAGTTTCAAACAGCTCTCATCCCAAATTACAATCAGCCAAGAAAATCAAATCACATCATGTATTAAAAAATTGATCCTGAACCAAGGAGGGAGTCCAAATTGAAATTACATTGAAATATCACATAATACAGTGAGTTAAAATATCCTCCTCAGTGATTTCCCAAGGCTGTGGCAAGAAATGATTTTTTGGTACTAATTATTTCAGTTGGATTTGAACTGATACATCAGTTGGTTTGAAGTGAAGTCTCAGTCCATCAAATGATTTAAAAAATTCAGAAAATTGTCCTTTTCAATGTTTTGGAAATCAGCTGAATGGTGTGGCCAAACTTCTACTAACCACCACTGCAAATCAAGAGGAAATCAAACCCAACATTATTTTGGCAGTGTGGATCAAAAATTGGTTGGTTGAGTCTGGTCATGTCTTTTAGGGCCATGGAGGAGACAGACAGACACTTAGGTTCCAAGTGATGAAGAACAGGGTGAATTACTGAAACTAGAACCAAAACTTAAATCAAAAAAATAAAGGATAAGATATGATGATATCAAACACTTCAAGAACGTTTTAAGAGAGAAATAGAATAAAAAGAAAAGAAAAGAAAAGAGGATAGCACGACAAGAGTTTTATCTTATAGGAAGCAGAACTGATAGACTAAGGTATATAAGATCAAATAAGGACAAGTACTAGTAGTGAGAGCTGGATTGAACAGAAAGGGACAAAAATATGCAAGAAGTAAGTCAATCAGATGATCTGAGGATTAAAGTCAATTTGTCTTGAGTTTCTCACAAAATTGGCAAAAGCCAAGATAGAATGTTGAGAGAGAGATTCAGAGCAATCAGTAGCAAGGAGGATTGAAATGAGTAGAAGTTGAGATGTTTTCAAGATTTGCAAGATTGTTTGACAAGGTAGAACAGGTAAAGAAGATAAAGCATAAGAGAAAACAGTATACAGAAACGGAAGGGGAAGTTGAGGAAGTTGAGGATAGGAATGTTGGTCAAGTGTTTGAGGAGATTTTTTGAGGGTTAGTAGGTCAAGCAGATTGGGAAAATATTGAGTGTTGAAGTTTGATGGGAGATCTGCTGGAGAAATTGGAAATTGATGTGATGAGGAGGGATTTTTTATAGCAAATCAAGTTGGTTTGCGGCTTGTGGTTTGTGCCTGAGAGGAGTTTTAATGAGTTGAGTTTTTGGAGATGAGTCGACAACCAAGGGACAGATTCGAGAGAAGTGAGAGAAGGAGTGAGAAGAGATGAGATGAGAATGATAAAGTGAAACACGTAGAAACAGGGGTAAAGAGAGAAGAAGAAAAGTGGACAGAGCAGAGAATGTGAGCAGAAGGGAGTGGAAAGATCAGAGAGCGGAATTTCAACAGAAATTCCAACACCAAGT